TACAGTGATGGACGCAGTTATTTCCCCCCCCTTTTTTCTGCCTTTTCTCCCGGTTCTCGAAAGAGCTGCAGTTCCGCAATGCCCTATAAATGAAACACTGTTGCTTTTTACTGATTTGGCATGACTCATCCTTTTCATCCCTGTGTGTGTTTTTTTTTTTTTTAGTGGAACCAAGATCCTCCTCGCTGCAGAACTCACAGGATTATTGAGAGTCCTCGGGAAAAGCTCTCTTTGCTTGGTGGATGCTTTTTGGGAGCTTTGTTTTTAAGAAGGGAAATGATCTACCTGGCACCAATGCTTATTGTTTACATTACTTACTGGAATGTATTTTAATTATACAGCAGTTTCTTCTGGTCCTCGAATTCAGTCCTCGTTTTAAGAACTCTAATGCAATTGCACGTTTGAAATTGCATTGTTAGGGGCCAGTAGGTGGCGATAAAATCTTTATGAATAAGTCTTTATGAATGAATTCATTCAAAACACTGATTCATTCAGGAATTAAATAAGTGACTGTTTTTGTGAATGAGTCATTGAATAATGATGTCCAATACCCTGATTCATTCAAAAATGAGGCAAATGACTCTTTATGAGTGAGTCATTGCATCCTAACTCAGCTAATTATATCAAGACACTGATCCATTCAGAAATTAAACAAGTGACCATCTTTATGAGTGAGTCTTTGAATCATTCTCAACCAATTTGTTCAAAACATTGATTTACTCAGGAATTAAACAAATTAGTCTTTATGAGTGAGCCACTGAAAAACTCACTAATTCTATTAGTTCAAAAACACTGATTTAGGAATAAATGAAGGACCATCTTTATGAGTTATTTATTGAATCATTCTCAATCATTTAGTTCAAAACGTTGATTTGCTCAGAAATGAAGTAAATGACTCTAAGTGAGTCACTGAGGCATTCACTCATCCATTTTTTTTTAAACACTTGATTCTTTCTGTAAAAAACAAGTGGCCATCTCTGAGTGAGTCACTGAATCATTTTCGACAAATTAGTTCAAAACCGTGATTCATTGAGGAATGAAGCAAATGACTCTTATGAGTGAGTCACTGAAGCATTTACTCATCCAATTCATTCCGCTGTCTTTCTTTGGAAATATTTTTGTTGGCACAGAAAATAACCAGCAATGTTGTGACATAACTAAGTTACTAAATATTAGCAAGTGTACTCTGGCTTTTATTGTATTCCTGGTCTTGTTGCACCTGATCGTAACATCTGAAGGTTACCACTGTTGCTGCAGGTAACTTGGTGATTCTACAGCCCATAAGCTGTTCATCCGGCTGTAGATGGATGACCCAGTAGAGAACTTCCAATCCTGCTTTCTTTTATATAAAGCAATTCCCAGTCTTGTAAACCAGTGGCTGAACTATCATAGTTTATTGATGCTATCCAGAATACCTATGAATTGTGCTCCAGCAGGCCTGCAGATAAATGAAACCTGGCTCAGAGCCTCTCTCTCTCTGAGTGTTTTGAGAAATCTAAAGGAAATATTTTATTTTTTCAATACCTTTTTTGAATAGAGCAGTTTTGATATGACATGTTTTTTAAATGACAGCATTACTCATGGCTCGGCATTACCCTCTTCTGTCAGCATCACTGGCATATGTGGCCTGGGTGTCATCTGCATGCAATGCATGTGTAAGCCTTCTATGTTTGTTTTGTTTATCTTGTACTTCCTCTTCGCCTCTCCTTCCCTTTCCTACTCTTCTTCTTCCCTTCCTCCTCTTAATTGTTCTAGTTTCCTTCCTCTTCTTTCCTACTTCCCTTACTCCTCCTTTCTCCTTCCTTTCTCTTCTTTTTTTGTCTTATTTTCTTTCTCTTTCCTCTTCCATTCACCTTCTTCCTTTTAACTTCCTCAAATTCTTTTATTCTTCCTTTATTGTTTACCTAATTTTCCTCTTAACTTCTACTTCACCCTTCTCCTCCTTTTCCTTCTCTTCTCTTCTGCTTTATTTCCTCTCTTTCCTTTCTCTTTTCTTTCCATTTTCATTTTGACTTCCTCTCCTTTTCCCTTTAATCTTTTACCTCCTTTTCCTCTTCTACTTCACCATCCTGTCCGCTTCCTCTGTTACAATATTTTTCCTCGCCTTTTCCTTCCTGTTTACTTCTCTTTACTTTTTCTTTTCTCCCATTTCCTTTCAACTTCCTCTTCTTCACCACTTCCTCCTTTTCTTGTTTCCTTCCTCTTCCCTCCTACTTTCTTTCCTCTTTTGCTCTTCTTCCTTCTTCACCACTTTCACATTGCCCTCTCCTTCCATTTCAGTTCTTTCATTTCATTTTCCCGTTTCCCTTCTACTTCCTCTTCCTCCTTTTCACTTCTCATTTTCTTTCCCCTTCCTTCCTTAATCGTCTTCTTAGTTTCTACCTTATATCTCTCTATCTCTCCCTTCACTTTTCTTTCCTCTTTATCCTTCCTTTCACTTCACTTCTCCCCTTCCTGTTTACTACTTATTTATATCTCCTTCTTCCTTCTCTTCCTTTCTACTTCCTATATTTTACTTCACTGTCTTCCTTTACTTACCTTCTCCCTCCTTCCTTCCTTCCTTCCTTCCTTCCTCCTTTTCTCTTCCCCTTCCATCTTATCCTTCCTCCTCCTCTTCTTTTCTCCTTCTTCCTTTATCTTCTCTTACCTCCTCTCCTCAAAGGTGAACACTATATTAATCCAATACAGCTCTTGACATTTGATCCTCTTGTGCAGAACTGCATGATTGCCATAATTGTTCTCACCTCACCCTGCTCATCCCGCCGTGTGACGGAAAGCACAGAAGCTTTTCGAGCTCGCACTGTGCCGAGAAGCACACAACCGCATTGTTGTCAGCAGCAATGGCATTCACTTTCATGTTATTTGAAAAAATTAATTCACCTCGTTACACCTCACGCCTTTCAAGGCCTCCACCGCTTGATCCTCTTCTTTACCTCCCTCCCTGCTGAAACGTTTACCACCTGCTTCATCATCTCTTACTGGGGCAGAAGTTAAAAAATGTATTCATTTCATAATCTTATTTTTTGTTTATCATTTTTTCATCTAATTCCCTTCCCACACCAAATCCAATTTTGCCAGGCACATTGTTTGAGAGGCAGCAGGATTTCTGTGGAGTGCTTTTTTGTTTGCTCCCCTCTCTCTTTCTCTCTCTCGACTTGGAGCAACCTAGACTGTGTTATGCAATTTTATTAGTGTAAAATCAAATCAGCGAAGATAAACTGGACCCTGCACTTGAAACCAGCAGGGATTTTCAGTTTTTCGAAAAGATTTGTGAATTTAACGCTTTATCTTTCCTTGTAATTGATCATTTACATGCAAGATATATATTACAATTATCTCTGCATGAAAATCAATTAAATTAAGTAAAAATGAGCATATCATTTTAACTACTGCGAGTTGTTCTCCTTTAAAACATTTAGTGATAACACGGTTCAGTATATGTTTCGTGTGTGATCCTCACCAGCAGTCTAGAAGACTTCAGGGCAGCAATTCAAGTAGATTTGCGATGAAAGAATTGATTGTTATGGCAGTCACTATTAGGTTAAGACCAGCACCCTGCCGAGAGGAAGAGGAAAGGCAAGCCAGAGAGTGAAAAGTGGTACAAACAGTTTTGCAGTGCTTTCAACATGGTTTTGTAATGCCCACAGGGAAGAACATCCATGTTCAACAGCTCTCTTTCACATCCTGCAATCCAAAACCTTTTCTAGTGTTCAGAGTTTCTATGGAGAAAATGTGCTGTGTTTATTTGCAGCACATTTTTATAATCAATTAGTCGGTGGGTTGTCTAAATGACTTGTCATTCTTGAGGAAGCATTATATAATTAGTGAGATTGAGGGTTATGTTCACTAGACTAGACTTCTGTAGGGGGCATTCAGATAAGACTTGTTCTTGTATTTAAAATGTTAGGACAGAGTGCAACAAGGTCTTAATACAAGTTTATAAAACAAGCTGACTGCATGCTAATACTCAGAGAAATTGTGTTTTTAAACTAGTGTGCTGCTAGGAATGCTAAGGTCATTGCTTTGATTCTCAGGGAATGCAAGAACTAAAATAATCTATATAGACCCTTGAAAACAAGGATAAAACCCATCTTGTTTTGGGTAAGATGTACTCTCTTCAAATGCATAAATACATATGCAAATTCATATGTAAAGCTAAAACAAACATGCGTTTGTCCACCACATCCAGGTTTCTTTCTCAGTCTGGTCACACACGTGCCTTTAAGTATCTCTGAGAGCCTAACGCTCTTGATACGTGGGGTTGATTGAAGGATTGGTTGGTGGGAAGCCATGTTTTTATTTATACCTCCTCTGCAAGAATAAATAAAGTGACACAGACAGACAAGGCAGTTCATATCTCCCTGACTGAGGAGAGAGGAAACAGAGAAAGCAGACCCAATATTGAGGTGCAGCTTTATGTGACTTAGATTGAGAGTGCAGTGTGTGCAAAGACATGAACTCACAGACACCACACACACTCAAAAAATGAAATGGATATGAAACACTCTCCCAAGGTCACCTACGGTGCATGTGTGTGTTAGACATGTTTTTCTGTGATTCACTTCCACTAGGCTAGAGGGACTTTAGTGACTAGACAGAGATTGTTTTCAATGCTGGAGCACCTATATAGTGACTGGCTTGTTCCTGTGTACCTAAATGGAACAAAGAATGTTCTCAAAATTGAAATTGCTAATATTAGAAAATCTTTTCTGCTGATTTATTAAGTTTTGACCCTTTTGGTTGAGAATCGCACCATGGAAATCGATTGCAGTGCAGCTTTTATTGCAGTATTTATGGCATTACCTAATTTGCATAATTTAAGTGATTCAGGCACTGAAAACATGTGCAAATAAGCAACAGAAACTCAAAAAGATTGAATATGTATGACATTTTAGTGTGTATGATTTATAGTATCTGTCTGTTTTAGCATCGATTTGTGTTAGTGTAGCATCTACAGTGGTATTCCAAATCTTATATGGTTCTTTCTCTCTTTTTTGCAGTTCGGCCTGATAAAACCCTTCCCAAAGAGTGGAGAACCTGTCAGCGAATTATGAATGATAAACAAGATGACCTCCTCCCTGATGCAGCAGACGATGAGAGGTCTTAGGTGGAACCGGGCCCTGTCCGACCCATTGTTTGTGCTGTCGCTGGCCCTGCAGCTTCTGGTGGTGGCTGGCCTGGTGCGAGCGCAGACCTGCCCCTCCGTCTGCTCTTGTAGCAACCAGTTCAGCAAGGTCATCTGTACGCGACGTGGCCTTCGAGATGTACCCGATGGTATTTCCACCAACACAAGGTACCTGAACCTTCAGGAGAACCTCATTCAGGTGATCAAGGTTGACAGCTTCAAGCATCTAAGGCACCTGGAGATCCTGCAGCTCAGCAAGAACCACATCCGCAACATTGAAATCGGCGCTTTCAATGGGCTGGCTAACCTCAACACTCTGGAGCTCTTCGATAATCGTCTAACCACAATCCCCAATGGGGCTTTTGAGTACCTGTCCAAACTTAAAGAGCTTTGGTTGAGGAATAACCCTATCGAGAGTATACCCTCTTATGCCTTCAACCGTGTACCATCGCTGCGAAGGCTGGACTTGGGCGAGCTGAAAAGGCTCTCATATATCTCAGAAGGTGCCTTTGAAGGCCTCAGCAACTTGCGGTACCTGAACCTGGGCATGTGCAACTTAAAGGAGATCCCCAACCTCATTCCTCTTGTCCGTTTGGATGAGTTGGAGATGTCAGGAAACCAGCTCTCTATAATAAGGCCAGGGTCTTTCAAAGGCCTCGTCCACTTACAGAAACTGTGGATGATGCATGCGCAGATCCAGACGATTGAGAGAAATGCCTTTGATGATCTTCAGTCCCTCGTGGAGCTCAATTTGGCCCACAATAACCTTACCCTCCTGCCTCATGACCTCTTCACCCCACTACACCACTTGGAGAGAGTACACTTGCACCACAACCCCTGGAACTGCAACTGTGACATCCTTTGGCTCAGTTGGTGGCTAAAGGAAATGGTGCCGGCCAATACCAGTTGCTGTGCCCGCTGCGCGTCACCTGCCAGCCACAAAGGGCGCTACATCGGCGAACTCGACCAGAACTATTTCCATTGTTATGCACCGGTGATCGTGGAGCCACCAGTGGACCTGAACGTGACTGAGGGCATGGCAGCAGAACTGAAATGTCGAGCGAATTCTTTGACCTCAGTCAGCTGGATCACGCCCAATGGGTCCATCATGACGCACGGGGCGTACAAGGTGCGCATTTCCGTGCTCAACGATGGGACGCTAAACTTTACCAATGTCACAATGCAGGACACGGGAACATACACTTGTATGGTGAGCAACGCCGCAGGCAACACGACAGCCTCGGCTACGCTCAATGTGTCCTCGACAGAGAACAGCAGCTTCAGTTATTTCACTACAGTTACCGTCGAGACCACAGAAGCGGCACATGATGTGGGCCACCCAACGGTTCAGCAGAAGGGTGGCCCTACTCCTTCTTCTGGGATTTGGGAGACCTTACCACCTTCCTTTACCACCACGACCACGACAGCACGGACACCACTGTCCACCAAGGCCACCGACAAGACCTACACCATCCCAGTCACAGCCCTGATTGATGGCTCCCTCAACACCTTGGATGAGGTCATGAAGACCACAAAGATCATCATTGGTTGCTTTGTGGCCATCACCCTGATGGCGGCCGTCATGCTGATCATATTTTATAAAATGCGCAAACAGCATCACCAGCACAACCATCACGCACCGACGCGAACCATCGAGATCATCAACGTGGACGAGGATTGTGTAACGGGTGGACCTACCATGGAGGGCCACCTCGCCCTCCCCCCACTGGAGCATGAGCACCTGAATCATTACAACGCCTACAAGACTGCGTACAACCATGCCTCCACCATCAATTCTATACACAGCTCTGCCCACGAACCTTTGCTAATTCGGGCCAGCTCAAAAGACAATGTACAAGAAACCCAGATTTGAACTGCTTTTCATAATGTGGATTAAACAAAGAAAAAAAGACTTCTAAAACTCTTAAGGAACAGTAAGTGACATATCGATTTTGAAGATTGTCGAAAAACAAAGACACAGTAGACCGATGCAAGACGTACGAGAAGGATGTTGACAGGTAGAAAAGGACATTGGGAGTTGAGTGTACATCAACCGTTTCAAAAGTGTCTTTACATAACAGAAGTTATTTATTTAAGGAAAATAACTATTGTGGTTTAATCAAGAAAAGATGTAATCTGCAATTATTTTTCCAGCAATTATTTCTCCATGTTTTTTTATGTTATTTTAAGGGTTGTTGGTTTACTAATATGCTTTTAAACTCTGTTTAAATCTAGTGTTCTGTACGTGAGGACCCAAGTCATTTGCAGATGAATCTGAAACTTTCCATCTTTCTGAAATCTCAAGATTCACATTTAATGTCAATACGTTTAAAATCTTAGGTTACAGATTGTCATATTAGAAAACTTCCACACCATAATTGTTTAAATTGATCATGTTAATTCTAAAGGATTCATTTATTGACGTCCCCTTAATTTGTGATTTTTGGCTGTCACGTTATTCAGTTGTCCTTGATGAAAAAGAGGCTCTTTAAACTATATTGGTCCGTCTGTTAGCTGGTTTTAGAGGTGTTTTGGGCACTTTTCAACTGGACAGACTGGAAGACAAGCTTTTAAACAGCTAATTTTTCAACAGGGATGGCTGCTACACATTACGTGCAGATGTATGCCTGGCTTCTCCACTCTAAAATTTAGAACAAGGAGCCCTGGAAACGTGTCCCAATTAAAACCGGGCCAAATGTCAGGAACACATATCTATTTGATGCAAGCAGGCAATTTCAAATAATTTCTGTGCTCGGGCCAGAAGATTTATGGATTAAGTTAGCATTTGGAGGCATCCCATATGACCTTAAATACATGTTAAGGCATCACATGCTTAAAATAAGCTTTATTTAAGTCCTTAAACTGTTTTCTGCCTTTTCTTTCTCATTGCGTACAACAACTTGGGTCCCTGTGGCAGTTCATCCTTGACACCCAACTAAAGTTTCCCAATACTCAGATGCAGCACACACATTCTATGCCTAATTCTATATGGGCAGGGGGTTGAAGATTGTAGGCCTTTATTAGAAGTGGAAAAGCATAAAGCTGGTACTGACGTAGCACCATTTCCATTTCAATCCACTTGTCTTGGTGCTCTCCATGGATACAGTTGAATGAAATCATTCTGGAATGGTCTAAAAGCCAGACACAGAACTCTAAATAAGTGGGCAAAGTCAGTGCGGCTCAGATCTAAGGCTTCCAAAGATGCCTCAGGTGTGTCTTTATAGATCATGCGAACCGATTGTGTTTTTTCCCTCTCACTAGTTCTTTTTTCTTGAATTCTTTCATATTCTATCTTCCATCATTCTGCACTGTCAATCTTTTCAGGCAGTTATGCAATTATTTTTAAACTTTTAAATCCTATTCAGTCACTTTAGTTTATTTTCGGTACAGACTGAGGATGATACATCCATCTTCGTCTTTACACACACAGTAGCCTTTGGCTGCAGGGGGAATGACTTGACATTATGAATTAATTTATGAAATCAGAATGGCCTGAGACGGTCACTATAGAAACCAATGACCTTGGATGGGGTGGGGACTAGCCGACAGACATTGGCTTGACACTTTAAATGTATTCAGAGTCAAATGGGAGAGCAAGGCTGGGTGAAAGAGCCAAAGTGGACTCATTTAAAGTGCATCATTTAATCTATAAAGCAATCTAGAAGTCTATAGGTAATTTTAATTAACCCAATAAACCTGTGACATTCTATTCAAATCCGTAGCGTTTCGTTTTTGGCCATTCATAATTCATGCAAAGCGCACAGGGGACTGACAAGGTGATTTTTCTCTTGCGTTTCTGGTCTTAATACAGATGCCGAATGATACCATGTGGCATTCGATGAACTTTTCCGTATTATATTTTGATCACACAGCAGATGCACTCTGATTTTAAAAGATCTAATGCAATTATGCTTGTCAACTTTGCTATTTCAGATCATTACGAAAAAGTTTTTGAGCGTACCTCCTGCCCACTAGAAGCAAAGGCCATCTGGTACGTTTTCTAATCAAGATATCAAAGCGTGCAAAAAAAGACTGTTCTTCATCTGAATATGCTGCTCTTTCGAATCTTAATTAATTTTCTTGTCTTTCTGAATTTAGTTTGCGTTGTCACTGAAATTGATGTCAATCTGAACATAAAGCGAAAAAAAATCCTTATCATCAATGGAGTTTAGCACAAAAGTAAACCAAGTCATTGGGTTTTCAGTTGCATTTTATTTTAAGTAATAGAATCATTGTCTTAAATTGTCATAATTTTTGGAAAATGTCTTTGTCGTTTTTTTTTATATGATCATTTTTTATTATAATTTTAGTTTTTCGGCTTATTGTGATTTTCTTTTTCTGTATGTTTGTTCAGTCCCTTCATGCAAACACATCTGTGTTTTGGGTTTCAGTTTAGGAGTGAACAAGATGCTTTTCTCTCCGTTTCACGTAACTTCTTTCTTTTCGTCTCTGAGAGGGAATGCTGTTCTAGTGGTAGATTTCTATAAAAATACATTTTGAAAATAAAAATAAAAACACAAAAAAACAAAACAAAAACTTTTTAAATTTTAATTTTACATGTGCCAACCTGTTTTAAAAAAATTAAAAAAAAAAAAAAAAAAGAAGAAGAGAGAGAGAGAGAGCGAGATATGCTCTAAAAGACGACTGGATTGATTTTCATGTAAACATTATTTCATGACCTTTAAAAAAAGATGGAGATCGATTATAGAAATCAGAGTTTGTAGTTCATACACAAGATAAGGTTACAAATAAAATATCATTGTCTTTTCTCTATTGTCTCCTTAGTTTTCTTTCACCAATGTGTATTGTGTCAAAATTTGATTTAAGTTTATAACACTGTCTTGTATTTCATATTACACAGTTCAGCTTTGAAAAACATATTTGTGTATGTTTTAGTGCTTCAAAATGTCTCAAAACATCATCTTGCTGTGTTTTTCATTGATAGGCAGTATTTAGTTTGTGACTGGCTCCACCAGCTTTTAGATTTTAGACAGTATTACAAATGAGTGAATTGAGAAAATACGCATGAAATGTTTCCTCCTTGCTGATCTAAAGCAGCTGGATGTAGTGCATGTTGCAGTATGAATAAATTTCACTGGCTGCCTCATTGTGTTCGTCGATGAGCACAGCAGTGCTGTTTTCCAGTGCTGTGCTCAGAGACAAATACCTGCGAGACGAAGCTCCACTCGTTTTACTTGTGCCTGACTGTTTTAATGAATATGATTGTAGTATTTAGGAGGAGAGGAGGAACATCTGTTTGGATCGACGTATAAAGAAGATAAGAGTTTGTACCTTTTTTTCTCCAGCAGATTTGGACATTATTTTAGCAGTGTTTTATTACAGTAGTTATCTAGAATGTATCACTAAAATAAGGTAGCATTTAATCACTTTTGTATTTAATCATTCAGCGGATGATTTTATTCAAAGCGACAAATTATGAAAAACAAGCAATTTGTCATATTGGAGTCAACAACATTAGCAATGTCTCAATAGCAAATGTTAGAAATAAACTAGATAAGCACAAAAGCTTGAATCTAAGTTTAATACAGAGCAGAATCAATATTTCTTTAATAGTAAAAAATAATTATTTGGATATGGCTTTGGGCCTGTATTTTCAGGCCAATGTTGCTTGTTTCCTGCTTCAGATTGTTCATTTCCTGATGAACTGTCCTGTGGCTGTCCGTTTAAGACTAATTATGGAGCAGAAGGCCAGTTCACAGAGGTTTGCTTTTGATGTTGACCCACAATGCAACAAAAATGTTTTTTTGGGATACTGCCAACCCATAGTAGCAAAATGTCTCTATTTCTACCATTATGAATTATTAGCTTAGCTACTGACCCGTCGCAGTAAGTTTGATTGACAGGCGATCTGACCAATCATAAAGCCGAATCCGCCATTTTTGTCCGACAAACAAACCAGACAGGCGAGTAGATTTACTTCGGTGGACTTGATCTTGAAAAATGGTGTGTATTGACGTCTTTCCGCTGTTGAAACAAGATATCTTCTGATATTCATTCATGTTTATTGCTATAACTAGTAAAGAGGAAGAGATGATCGTTTCATATGACGCTTGAACTGAGGCGCTACAGCGATCTGTCACAACACATTAAAGAGCCACAAAACAGTATTTATTGTTTGAATTACTTTAAAAAAGACAATTTGAAAAGACACATGTGACGAGAGTGGAGAAATGGTGGAGAAAACGCTAATGCACGACACCTGCGCCACTCACCGGTCTCGAGTCCCACGGAGGAGCTCTAGAAGGATAAAAGGAGGAGTGACGACAGTGTTGGAGGAGAGAGGACCAGGCCTGGACTTTATTTTGTGTTTTGTGTGCGGCAGTCGTCCGCGAGGGGCTGCCGCTTTACTTTAGTTTTGTGTTTGTTCATTTTATTAAAGGTTGAAGTGTTCGCCAGTTCCCGCCGCCTCCTTCCCGACCTACAAACGTTTGTTACATTGGTGCCGAAACCCGGGAGGAAGGAGGGACACGCTGCCAGAGATCCCTCGCCGCTGTGGTGAATCTGCGGTGCCATCGAGCATGGCGGAGCAGTCTGCCGCCATGGAGGCTCGAGGCGGTGGGCTGGAGTGAGTTGCCGGGGAGGCGGACGAACTGGCTGCCGGCCGCCTGGGCTGTGGAGGGACGGCTGTCGTCCGCGAGGCAGCGGAGGAGTCGCCGCCGTTCGCCTGAGGCCGGAGCCTGCTGCCATC